GTATTTTAACCTACATATTCATAACCTACGTATATTTATGAGTTGATTCCATTTTGTTAGAGATAAATCGATGAACTCTACGAAATTTTATAACCACTTAAACACAACTATTACTTCTGTTCCTACGCGCGAGCCAGGACGTGTTGCTCGAGCATCAGTCGTCTTTGTAGTGATTTAAGAAGCAGGTATAGGGAATTTGACTTTAAGAACTAAAACAGACGGAGCGGTTTCTGCCGAATCGGCTACCGCTCGGCAGAGGATCGGCTCAAAACACATGTGGCGTCACCCCAACTTCCGACCGACAAATTTTTGTCCAGTCTTTTAAGTAGTGCGCAGGTGGCATAAAGTATGGCTTCTTCTGATGAAAGTGATGATGATTTGTTTTTTCTAATAACAGCAGGCTTATTATATAACAGAATGAAGAAGAAAAAGAAACGCAATTATTGGATACATCCCATAATAAATGAGAGGAAAAACAGAGGATTTTTTTATACAACTTAAAGGAGACCCAGATCAATTTTTTTAACGTTCAAATTTTCCATCATAGTCCTGAACTGACAAAACTGAGACACTCAAAAATAATTAAAACCGCCACGACAACGCTATTCGTGTGTTTTATCCCAAAAGCAAACATGTACTGATGTGCCGACTGGAGTCGTAAAACCGCCCGCGGTGCATGGTACCCGGCAGGGTACGCATTGCCACCGCCACCATGGACCGCTCGATGATGTACCGTCTGTTTCATTCCACAGACTAGAGATGGGTAGCTCAGTACTGCGTTGCGTTATTGCGCTGAAGCAATGGCNGAATCTTCTGAACTTGAGACAATTTCGTCTTTTTCTGCAATCTTCCCATGTCTTACATCGTCCAGAGAAGGCGAAATTCATTTTACCCTACATTCTACAAAAACCTATACAAAAAGTTGTTAGGCACTTATAGGCTGTGATTTTTTTTTAGTTTACAGATAATAGTTTTGTCTTTTTTTGTCCAATAAATTAAATGACAGAATTTTGCAGAATTATTAAACTTTTTCTTCAAAATTAAATTATTATTTCATTTTATAACGTAAATTTCACATAAGTTTGGTCAATTACTATTTTGTGTAAAAAATATTGAGTATTTTAACCTACATATTCATAACCTACGTATATTTATGAGTTGATTCCATTTTGTTAGAGATAAATCGATGAACTCTACGAAATTTTATAACCACTTAAACACAACTATTACTTCTGTTCCTACGCGCGAGCCAGGACGTGTTGCTCGAGCATCAGTCGTCTTTGTAGTGATTTAAGAAGCAGGTATAGGGAATTTGACTTTAAGAACTAAAACAGACGGAGCGGTTTCTGCCGAATCGGCTACCGCTCGGCAGAGGATCGGCTCAAAACACATGTGGCGTCACCCCAACTTCCGACCGACAAATTTTTGTCCAGTCTTTTAAGTAGTGCGCAGGTGGCATAAAGTATGGCTTCTTCTGATGAAAGTGATGATGATTTGTTTTTTCTAATAACAGCAGGCTTATTATATAACAGAATGAAGAAGAAAAAGAAACGCAATTATTGGATACATCCCATAATAAATGAGAGGAAAAACAGAGGATTTTTTTATACAACTTAAAGGAGACCCAGATCAATTTTTTTAACGTTCAAATTTTCCATCATAGTCCTGAACTGACAAAACTGAGACACTCAAAAATAATTAAAACCGCCACGACAACGCTATTCGTGTGTTTTATCCCAAAAGCAAACATGTACTGATGTGCCGACTGGAGTCGTAAAACCGCCCGCGGTGCATGGTACCCGGCAGGGTACGCATTGCCACCGCCACCATGGACCGCTCGATGATGTACCGTCTGTTTCATTCCACAGACTAGAGATGGGTAGCTCAGTACTGCGTTGCGTTATTGCGCTGAAGCAATGGCTTGCGCCACTGCGCTGATACCAAAATTATTATCGCGTTAACGCAATTGAGTTAACGCAGTGGGTTAACGCACTAGTGTGCGCTTGAGTTAGTGTATCAACGCAGGAAATTTTGCTGCGTTACCCATCTCTACCACAGACCACCTAGACTGGCCGTATCTAATTCCAATGCACGGGTAGAGATGTTTTAAAATCTTATGAGCTTTGACCTTCATATGCGCAGAAGCATAATTCCGACCGTCGCCTAAATTATTCTACGCCCTAAAAACATTACACCTATTATTCACAGTCTCACTCCAGCTCTAACGTAAACAAGCCTTTGATCTGATTACAAATATCATAATAAAATGCCCTATTCTTTATTATTTTAATTTAAACAATAAAAATATATATAACGAACGTTCGCCAGTTGACTTTATTGATGCCCGAGCGCCTTAGTTCA